CAAGTGGCCGGGCTGTGGTCATCCGATGAACGGGTACTTCATATAAAAGAGCTGAAATTCAAGGCGGTAATTCAAGCCATCTAACATTGGGCAACAGAGCTTCAATCAACCAGTCTGTTGATTCAATCAGACAATTCGACAGTGGTTTGGGATATAAATCATCTAGGCTCGACAGGCTCGGCGAATCTGCTACAATGGGCGATCAGGTTCTTCCATCTCATCGACTCACTCAACATCGTAGCCAGAGCCAGACACATTCCCGGGGTAAAAAATGTGATCGCCGATGCCTTGTCCCGATCCAACCGACCGTCCCCGACAGAGTGGAAGTTACTGCCCCAGATCTTTCAGTCGATGATCTACCTGTTATCACAGCCTCAAATAGGCCTTCCAAAGTTTGTATCACCAATCCCAGACTCCTTGGCGTGTGACCTCGATGCGTTGGCAATATCATGGGAGGGTCTCAATGCCTACGCGTTCCCCCCCTCCAGCTCTGCTACCAAAAATAATACAGAAACTATTGGCCACCAGCAACATACTACTGCTTTTGGTCGCACCCTTCTGGCCAGCGAGAAGTTGGTTCGTCAACCTAAGAAGCCTGGCAGAGCTAAACCCAGTACCACCTCCAAACCGGGACGACCTACTTCTTCACCCTCACTCGGAACTACGCCACGGGTCACCTCAGACCCTCAATCTACACATTTGGCACATCTTCAGAGGTCTCTCATAGCTAAGGGCTACTCTTGCCGAGTACCCACAGCTATCACTTCAGCATCGTACTTCGACCCGTTCCTTGTACAACAACAAGTGGAAGAAGTTTGAAGACTATTGCCCCTGCTTCAAGAAGGCCCCACAGACACCGACCGCGGCGGGTGAAAGAGAAACACAACTCGGCATCTCCAAGGTTTAACGTTCCAGGCTGCATCAAATTGACCCTCACTCCTTTGCCCAAGCTTAGTCAAAGGATGTCCACACAGCTGCAAGACCAGCTGTTTGCACTGTCCAGACAGAAGGGTAATCTGTCCAACCGTGGGATAAGTGCAAGTCGTGAGATAGGATAAGTTTAAAAATTTGGAAATTTTAATATAAATTGTATATTTATATACTTATCCTATCTCACGCGATGGATGCCCGCCCGGCCTCCCCACTACTCAGATTTTAACGTTGGCTTCAAGATGAGAATGATCATTCAAGGTAGTCACGTGGGCAATTAATGGAGCATGCTGCAAGCTTTATTAGGAACTAGGAATCTAATTAAGGAGAGCAGCATGGAGTGCACGGGCGAATGGACAAGGAGGCCTATGGAAAAAAGTTTACAGTCGTTCCACTAAAAGTCGAAGCAAGAGAGAGAGGTGCAAGTTGTGAGATAGGATAAGTATATAAATATACAATTTATATTAAAAATTCCAAATTGATGCAAAGATTTATTTGTTTCAGCAGTCAGATTTATGAAAATGGGTGTATGGTTATGAAACACCTAAACTGTCAAATGATTAGATTAGGTCTGGGCTTCATTTCAGTGTTTATGACAAATATTGGCATCTCAAGAATAAAGAAAAGAGTTGAGATTAATTTGTAACTGCCTTTGTCCAATTTCACAAACCAAAGCAATCAAATTTGGTCATAAGAGGGACAAGGACCTGAATGCAGCCATGGTAGCTATACCTTCCATATTGAAAAAAGGAAAATTAATTTGTTTTATTTCCAAAGAATCGATTTTTGAAAAAAATATATTTCGCTTAACCATGAAGAGTAAATTGCTTCATGAAATCTGCATGCTTGCAGCAATATCAATGATTGGAAAGTCTGTTTTTCACTTTATGGCCACATAGTCTGGGGGTACAGTAAATCATTTAGGACTTGCATACCTTCATAAAGAAATCTTCTTATGATATGCCACCATAAGCCTAAAGTATGTCTCATTCTACTGTACATATACTATTCACACTTTGCTAAGGATCAAATCATGGATTCAACAGAAAACTATGATGTGGTGTCAAATTTGGTTTAAATATCAAAGCTAATTGTTAGCATGGATCCTAGGTTTCAGTATGTCATTGCATCTTGTAGATCCCATACCTGCTATTGACAGGTGTTGTTTATTTGTCAATGACTTATTCCATGATTTGCAAAATGGTTGATTGGTGCCATGAAAACCATTTTTATGGTTACTCATGTATCAAGTGCATAAGGTTAGATTAAAGTTTCTGTTTGCCTAAAGAGGGGTTACCATATCATTATTTATCAGTTTTAAATGGATACAATTTCAAATTATAAATCTGCGTTTAAGGAAAGTTGTGAATTTTTGTGAACCTTATCGAAGTGTGAGTAGTATATAATATTGTGTCTAGGAATTGTATATCACTTGCTCCTGAACTTGTTGAAGACAAGAGACATTTGGACTCATGCAAGCTTCTATTTGATGCAAACTTGTGCCATACCATTACTTTTCTACTCAAAAGAAGTTTTCTTTAATTTCTATTTAGTAGTGTGTATTTGGTTTTCAGTCAGTGTCCTGGCGAATGAAGGAAATATGGAAGCCGGCTTGCACATTAATGAGTACATGCTAGCAACTCTATCTTCCTTTGCTGCAGCTGTAGGTTTAGTGAGAACCCTTCCCAGATTGAAATGTCATGAAAGGATGGGTAGTCTTAGCGATACAGTATAAATAACACTAGGTTTTGCTCAAGTTACTTCTCACTTACCCGGATAGCTAAGTAGGTATGCTTGAAATGTATCAATGCACATGGATGGATGTATACATTACATCATTTGAAATTTTAGTGTGGCTGATAATCATGTCTTGATTTGAAACCAGTCTCTCTGCAAGCTTCACTATGACATGGTCATTTTACTCAAGCCCTGATTCAAACCAGGTGCTCATTCTGGTGGCATGTTTTTTGTTACTTTGCCACTTAAGGGATTCCAGTACACATTTGACTGGTTGAGAGGTATGATTTAATTCTGCTTCAGATGCTGCTGTGAGATACTGAATCCAGATGGCATGTGAGGCAGTCTGAGACTGAGCTTGATTATGTGTGAATGGTAGTTGCATCAGAGCAGGAAGCGGGGCGGGAGACCCTTTTAGAACACTGTTTAGAAATGTTTCAAGATGAGATGATTTGCTTAAATTTGTTTCATATTATCTTAATATTTCCAGAGTAATTAGGTATACTGGGATGTACATGATATCTCATTTTTCTGATTTGAATATGAGCATTGGTAATGGTATAAAGCTTCAGCTTGAACAAGTTTCACAATATTTAGTGTATAAGTTTAGCATGTACAGATTCATTATAAAGTTGACAGGCCATAATGTACATGTATGAAGGTGATTGGGCTTAAATGCTGTCTGTAACGTTACTGAATGAACATAGTCTGGCATTGTTGGCAGCTAGACTACAATCATACCTTCCTGAAGTCTGTACTACTGTAATCTTATTTGGTCATGCAAACTCAGGCCATTCGGTGTAACGTTTGAGAAGTTTGTGGGGCTTTGGTGTCTTGATCTTAGTCAACTTTCTTATGATGAATTATGCCAGAAGTAAAATATTGCATCCCAAAATGTACAGGTTAATAATGGATGGACAGAGCTGCAGATAACTTTTTGGGTCATTGAGTTATGTACTGGCTTGTGTTCATCTTAATTGGGTATCCTAATTTTACATTGAGTATTACTCATATAACCAAATAAATTGTACCCTCCTCACTCGAAGTCAATAGGGTATTTTGCCATTTTTTCATTAATTGTAAAAATATATTAAAGTTTAAATGTTAGTGTTTGTTATTTATATATGTGGAATGATAAGAAAGACTGCAAGTTGCCAAGTTTATGTGCTGAAATAGAACCTCTCAGTATATCTCAGTTATTTTATCTATCCACCGGTACCTAGATAAGATTTGACATTTTTGTGTGTATGCATGTAAGATCACATTTATTGAGTACATTGTACTTACAAAAATTCAAGCGTACTTAAGTTGTACGCAATATACTTAATAAGAATTGAGTTTTCACATAAACAATTACGTAATTTACGCAGATACGCAGCTTATCTGTACCTCTGGATGGAGATACTAATTACCATTTTTCCAGGTGGACAGAAGACTGAATGTTGGAATGATTGACACTGATTACATTGATACACACGTGTTAGATGTATCTTATATTTCTGTTCTCATTAGACATACAGTCAGTGTTCAGACAGTGCATGTCAGATTTTCTTTTTCTCATCGCAACATAGTGTTAGATATAGCTGATATTTCTGTTCTGATGAGACATGCAATCAATGATTAGACATACAACTAATGTCCAGACAATCTATTTGATAGTAAAATGGAAGTCCCCTATCTATAGAAAGCATAAGGTGTTAATAAAAGTGCCGCTCTGGCCTCTCCATTTAAATACATTTGGCCCCTCAAAATTTAGAACCAAGATTCTGCAGGAATTTTGAAAGTGTAGATCAGGGTTAGTAATTGGTTAAATACTGTAAGCATGAAGTGATGGCTATTTTGTTTTGAATTAATTAAAGAAAACTTTGAAAGATGTATATTTTTTGTGTTAAACAGCTGTGTGCTAATTGAGTCTGTTCCACTTAAATGTTTTTTGTTGATAGCTGTATGTGTAAACATTCTTACACATGTCAACCATAAGTCAACTATTTTTAAACAGGAACCATCTGATGTTCATCAGCTGTCATTTCACTGTAGCATTAAAACAATAGTGTATAGAATTACAAAGTCTCTTTGGATGGTATATAGTGTAGTGCTGTTCTCTTTTTCCTAATTAGCACCTCAACAAACCTTCCAGCATGTAGTGTTAAACAGTGGAGTCAACAACTTAATGGAGCATATGCAGCATGAAGGGGTGTAATAAACATTCTTGTTCCAGTGCCTGTTTATGGACACCAGAGAGTACTTAATGAAGACTATATTATGAATTATTCAAAGACGAAGGAGAGGCAGTCCGTTATATAGTAATTACATTGATTTTTCTCTTGATGTAGATCAACAGCCACAGCAGACGAACCAAAGTGTCAAGACTACAACTTCACTAAAACAGTTGTCAGGAAGGCAGCATTGGGAGACCGCCAGTTGTCAGGATAATACTTTCTAGTCAAGTCAGCAGTTGCCTATGGGTTGGAGAATAGCACTCGGCTCATTTTCTGTAAGTTGATTTAACACACTCACAATGATTTAATGCCATGTTGAGTCTTTGGTTTTATATAATGATGCATGTAAAGATGCTTTTTGGTTTAATATGACATTTTTGTTCAGATAAAAAGCTGTTTTATTTTCAGGCACTGCCTCTATTGACAATAGGAATTGGATTATCACAAAACATGGATGTTCTGTACTAATGATATTTAATCTTGAAGTATTTAAAGAAAGGTCATTTAATTATTATGGACAATTTTAAACTTCGTTTTGATAGCATGTTTTCGCTTTTAATATTTCATTATCAAGTTTGGATGAATGTGTTAAACCTATTCCTTTTCTTTGTTGGAAGGAATAATCAGATTTGTTGGAACACTACTGAACATACAAAGCTGAAAATGACAATCTATGGTTCTGGTTCATTACTTAATCATGTTGTTATCTGATTTCTAAATCATTGTAAAGGGAAAATTGTCTGTCTCAGCTAATCAATATTTTGATAAGTTGAGTCAGTGTAAGTAGCTTGAAGCCAATTAGCTGTGTAAAGATCTATTGCTTGCCATGCAAAGAATATGCCGTTTGAGACAAACATAATCTATCATTGTATCGCAGTAGCTCAAGTATATCTGATGTTGTTTTTTTGTGTGTGTCTTTTTGGCTCTGGTACATGATTTCTCACCTGCAGTTGAAATATGTGTACTTGATGTTACATTTTTTAGCAAAGAAAATGAAAAATAGAAACTGAAGAATTCACTGAAAGTCTGCTTCCAGATTATAATGATCACTGGTTAACTGTTATGTCATCCAGAACAGATTAATTCTAAGAACATTGTTTGACACTGACCAAGATTTGTCTGTGGTCCACAGGTGAAGTACACTGAAATATCTACTGGTAGTGTTGGATCAAAACTTTGTCAATACAATTATGTTAGATAATGTGACCACCATTTGTTTGATCTTACTTGTACTTCAAAAAAAATAACACAGACCAGCTGACCAGTGCAGAAGATGAAAACTTTTCCTGCAGACAATTTTTGAAAAATGATTTTTATGATAAATATTGTAAAAGTATCACATGAGGGGTACATGTGATTTACAGCACTTGTTTTTGGCTCATGGTATAAAATCCAACAAGGACACATAAAACCACTTATACAGCACAAAATATACCTCAGAACAAATTTATGTTGCCAACATGTGTCAATTTGCCATTGTAAAAGAATTCAAACATAGAAAACAACAGCTATTTGATAGAGCTGAGGTTAACTTGTGTTGTGTCTCATGACTATTGACTTAAATAGAACATGCATTTTTTGTTTCGTACTGGTAGAAATTCTCTGTGAGAAATCCATGTGCAGCCTGTTCTGTTTGTAAAGGGGTATAAGGTATTTATTCTCCCACACAGAAATGCAGAAATGTCTTTCCCTAACAGGCAGGATACATAGTATTTTAAAGATTACATCAACCAGTCATTTCTCACTATTCTGACTTGGAAGTAAGATAATTAATTACATGATTAAACATTTAGAAATTCAGTTTATTCCTCTGATTTTTAGTTTTACATCATTTTAAGGTGTGTATACCTCACTATAACACTGCAGCTCTCTGGGCAGAGTGCTGATTTTGTAGGGGGAAGAATGTATAGTGAAAATCTTCCATGTTTATGCAAGGGTTAGGCTAGGAATTTTCTTTGTAATGAAGTGTCTTCAGTTTTGGCACTTGTTGGTCACTAGGGATATGTCATATGAATTTCTGCAAACCTTCTTCTCGTTCTCAGCAAATGGGAAGCCTTCTTAGAAATGGCATGAGAGGAAAAATAGGAATTTGAGGTCTATCCTTTCCTTTAGACTGTTCTCTTGAGGGGCTGTTATTTGTGCTTGGTCTGGGTTTCATTATATTAATTTGCAATTGTTAGCCTCATTCAATAAAACAAATGGCCAATAAGGCTGGGAAGGCTCAAACAAGTAGTATTGCCTATACCAGATATTGATCCGGGGGAGTAGCATTGAGACTTGCGTCAGTCAGTGCTGGTGGTGCTCAGAGTGGCTGCCTTTCACTTGCCACCAGATTACATCTCACTGGGCTCAGTTTAATAGTATTGCTTCTCTTGTGTTGCTGTAAGTATCAACCATTTTACCATAGCTTCTCCACAGAAATCCATAATCTAGGTGTCATTCTTAGTAGGAAAGGCGCTTAGAACCAATGCTTAATGGCTTCGGCGCCATTTTTTGTAAAGGACGGTGATGTTCTTTCAAGGTTTTACACAGATTACAGTCTTGTTATATTTGAACATGATCAATGACATGGCAAAGCTTTTAATAGAGTATCCTTAGCTAGAGTTGTGAATATCAATAGCGATACCATGTTGTTGGAATTCACAAAAAGCTGGAATCAATGGACTTTTACTGATGCATGCTGCTGCATTCCATAGTGTGTTTTACCAGGTAGAGTCATGTGTAATTGCATGCATACGTAAAGTAAGTTGGATGTAGTTTACTGAATGGAATCAGAACCTTGATATTAGATTCTGCTGAAGGGAGTGATCATGAATTTTGTGGAAACGTAGTCGAAGTGTTTATGGTTATGTAAATACGACTCCACGTATGCATAATGGTAGCTGTGCACTGGGATCTTCATGGCGGTGCATATTGAACTTGAGTACTATGGTTGTTACAACTGTATTGGGAAATGTCATATGGATGCATTGTATGTAGGAAAGGATTTTATTGCAGCAACCAATCGACCTTCGAATATGTTCAGCGATTTTGCAGACTGGGGTGACATTTGTTTTGTTTATGTAGATTTTATGCAGATTAGGGTATTGTCCATAAAATCTTGTTGGTCGTTGTGGATCTGAGTTGTTGGATTCACACAGGTAGATCAATAGTGTTGAAGCATCTCTGCTCAGTAGTGTGTCATAGCAGTGCTAGATGTTGGGTAAGATTTGAGGTTTTCTTGAAAATTTGACTTACAATCCCTTATTAAATCCAGCTGTTGCAGCAACCACTGAACATGACTTGGTTTATGTTTGTGTAGTGTAGATGAAAACGCTAAATGATATGGAAATGACACAAGTATTGTCAAATTTGAATAACACTGATGACACATTCTAACAAACAACCACTGTAGTTTCAAATGGTTCACACAAGGTAGGCCAAGAAGATACTGACAGTAACTATTCAGCACTAACTGCTTATGTCGCTCACCTGGGACTGGCTGAAGTTTCTGTTTGAATATATTTGAAATCTTTCAGTAACAACGGAGTAGTTTAGTAAGTATTGTGTAATATCTAGAGTGTATTGCAGAGCATCGTGTGAGGTTTCATGTAGCGATACATTACTGTGTTTACTCCTGTTTTGGCACCACTGACTGATAACCCTGTAACCTTTACCATAGTCATGAACAGAAAGTAACATTCAGCCTTCACAAACCAGCCAAACTGTCTTAATCACGTTCAGTCATCAGTGGTAAAAGTCAAGAGTTTTGGTTGTCTTTGGTGGGGTATTTCGATCTATGGACCCATAATCTTTTAATTAATAATAGTAGGATTAAATGAAGGATACCTTGACTTTCACTGGCAATTTCAAACACTGAAACATTACATTAGATGTTTAACTAAGTCAAATGTAAATATTTGCTTCAATGTTTGATTTGGGCTAGTTGTGCAGACATGTATTCACACATGCTCTGTTATTGAATTTGCTCATGTTTAGTCATTAATACACTGTTCATGATTTTCAGACAGGTTATTGACATATTCATTCCCTACATTGAACAGCAGCTGCATCTGTGCAGGAAACAACTCAGTGTTACTTTCACTACAATTGAGTCAAGAATTTCTGCTTTAGGCTGGCATATTTGTAATGTCTAAGGAAAGATTATTATATAGGGAGTGGCATTATGCATTATGTTAAATTATTTTAGCCCTGATATGTTTTATTTTTTACAATCTTAATATGTTCTGAGAATAAATATATGTCTTTACAGAGCAATCAGCAATGAGACGAGGTATGCCACCAGGGCCTCGACCACGTCACATGGGACCCCGCCTACCTCCACATGGAATGCCACGAATGATGGGACCTCGCGGACCAGGCCCAAGACCCATGGGACCAAGACCTATGGGGCCCCGTCCATTTGGTCCATGTCCTCCAGGGATGGGTCCAAGGCCAATGATGAGACCCCCACTTAAACCTGCAATCACTAAACTTGGTGGAAAGCCACCCGCATCTAAGCATGAAGGTAAAGTGAAAATTCAAAACTTACTTACTTTGTCTGAAGGGAGGAATATTATCATCCCTTTTTGTGAGATGTTTATTACATACTTGTATTATGGTATGTAGGCCAAGTATATGCTTTTGCACCAAATGGACACCTATTGGTGTTCAGAGCGAGAGGCATTACTTCTTTTGAGATGAAACAAGGTTGATTTCATCAGTTATGTTAAAATAAATCTGCTAATTATGGAACTGGCAATTTAGTGTGTTTTTGATATGTTGCACATATGGTGGTTCATAAGTGTCACAGTGAGTGGAATCTGGATGTTTGTATAATAGAATTTTCAACTGTTTGCTTTGAAGCCAGTCATATTGGTTGTCCAGATTCCTATCATAGTGACCTTCTGATCTTACTTTATGACCTTGACCCAGTTTGTTGGCTTGTGACATACTGGTGTCAGTGATCAATGCTGGAATAATAAAGTAACAAGACTCAATTTGGAAATATGGACTTGCATCCCTTCAAGGAGTACTCAATATCAAAGGCATCTTTACATTTGGGTCTGTAAGGAATTTGAAAATAGCTTTTCAATGCTCACCCGTCTGAATTTGAAAGTGTCTCCAAAGTGTCTTATGGTATCAAATCAGTGGCAATAGGGATGTCATATTTCGGACATAGTCTTGATACTTGTTAAACAGTTTCGGTGCTGACCCGAGTGTGGCCATTAATCCCTATAGTCTTATCTGCACTGGTAATGCTGCTATGTCGCACCTTCTTTATGATGCATTTCACCTAGTCTTACAGGGAAAGTCAACCTCAATAACCAGTCTTGTTTATTTCTTTATAGAAGTATTTTTGGTATCGATGGACTATTTATCCAACAAGGGTACTATCCACTAAGGACTCGAAAATACCATGAATGAAGATCTGTTTGGTATCGTTTCACACACTATTACTATTTGAGGATATTTCCAGTCAGGTATTGGTATATCAAGGAATATGGTTAGCTGTAACCCAGTAACTTGTAAATACATCATGCAAAAAAATCTAGTTAACACGGTTTCATCGATCAGTTCCGCCCAATATTTGTTTAAGGAAATGAACTTTGGATATTGGTGTAGTTATTTAAATTTAGTCGTTTCCTCCATTAGCGATAATGGTAGAACTGACTCAAATGATTTTTATGTTGTAACATTAAAACGTTGTTAGAATCAATAAATCACTAGATCGGGCATCAGACATAACACATTGTGCATTGTTCAAATGCAATGCTATTTGATGATTGGCTTTTGCTTTTTTGTAACATTTTCGGAATTTACATTTTATCTCTCAGTGTAATTACTTTAATCTATTTGATGAATAAATATTGAAAAATATCCAAATTTTTAGAATATAAATATTTTAAGTTTACATATTTGAAAAATGTGAAGGATATTTTATGTTTTTTTTCTCCTAGGTTCACATTTAATAGCAATGGAATCAATGGGTAAGAATGCTCCTCATAAATGTTCAGCTCCTTTGCTGTATATATTCCTATAGACAGCCGTGGATGTTACACTTTGTATCAGACCCGAGTAATAGCGGTGCGTGAATATCGGTCATAACTTATCCCTTTGTATGTTAAAGGTATTGAACTGGATGCACCAACATAAGGTAAAGTATAGTTATTTGTATGGTGCAAACTGTGTGTGCCATTTATATTCTATAGCTGTGCATTTATTACTAAGGACTGGATGGACTCTCCATGTCTCTACCACAGTAAATGCTTCCTATATGGGCCACTGGCCTTGTCCTCCCCTGATATATCAAACAGACAGTCTAATTACTACTAATACCAATTTCTAGTTCTTGCACTTTGATGCAATATAGAAATCTGCCCTTTAGCTCAGTGCTGAAAATAACATGAATTTATGAAAATGATGAAATATTCCATATTGAGTGAAACTGTATCATTATTCCTACGACATGGTGTAACGAGTAAAGAAAACCCTTTAAGTCAGACTTAATGCTATGTAATAAAGTTATACTATGGTAAAGGTATAACAAGTCTGCAAGAACGTTTGTTAGTTGGTCATTTGTTTAAGGCCGTATTTGTTGTGTATGGTGGTCACAATTGGCGACAATTTTAACCCATTTTAAGCATATTGGTAGCGTACAATGATGCTTGCATGGGTTTGGGGTCAATATATTACATGATGCATGCTGTGTTTACTTGATAAAGATTAGAAAGATTTTCAACATTGTTGACAAACTGGGTCACATGCTGTTCCAACTTCATTACAAATGCAGAAAGAGTTAATGATGTGATGTATAATTCATTTTGAACTATTTTCAGGTTTTCGATTTCACAAGTGATTAAATTTCAAACCCTAATGGTTGGGGAGGGCATGTGAAATGTTTTTTAGTTTTTATTCGGTTGATGCCATCAGTAACAATTTCTGCAGTTTAACATGTTTGTGTTTCATGTTAGGCTTGATAATCAAGCAAATAGCACAATATTTTGCCAGTTTCATTCTTGCAGATGTGCAATTTCTGACATGTTTTTTCTTAGAAAATGTGAAATAAATTGTATGTTTAGTTGTGTAGAATCCATTGTTAATCATATTCATATCAACTATGGAGCAACATACTTCTTTGTGTTTGAATGTCTGAATGTTACAAAGTTAATTAAGCTTTAAGCTGTACGCTCATAAAGCGTAGCAGAGCTGGTGCTGAGAATTCTGATGAAGTGTGTAAAGCTTCATGAGAATCAATATCTCTTTACGAGGTTGATGTGAAACTTCAACAGAACTTAATTTTGAAGTATTCAGACAAATATGACGACTCAATGAGGTGGTGCACCATGTTTCTGTAAAGAAAATCAATTGAATTATCTTTTATGGGAATGTGTGATATCATTCTGTCTTTAGTGTGGCTTCTATCAGTACCCTTAAGTATTTTCAGTATCAGACTGGATTTAAAAACTAATACAAATGGGAGTCTGAAACCCAATCGTATTTTTTTAAAGTTTAACATGTGTTTTCATAGTCCGGTGTCTGTATTGTGATAAGACTGGTTGAAGATGTGTTTTATCACATTGTTTAAAACCTACATGCTGTCCATTCTTTCAGAAATTGTCAATAATAGCATTTCTTTGAGGTAAGCACTGTATGGGTTGAGTTTAAGTTACATTTGGGGATTAGTTTATACCTTGGTGTGTACAAGCTTGAGTTATACACATTCCAAATAGACTGGCCATCAACTCGAGTATGCACTAACTCAGTTGCTTAAAGGATATCTTAAAAGGTTAATATTAAAGGTTTACCATTTAAAAGTATTTCTATTATATACATGTATATGTAAGGAAATAATAACCAACTGGATTGAGTAATGACTTAAGGCAGACTCAGTCTCTCTGATTATTGCTACTCTAAACCTCTTATAAGGCTTTGTTCTAGTTCATCTAAAATGCATCCCACAAATAAATGTTTAGATATTTAATAATTAAGCTTTCATATATGTGGTTTGTCATGTTGTGCTGATAGTTGCATGTGTGTTAACAATTTAGATCACAAAATCAGTTGTTAGATTGGGTTTGGCTGTAATTGTCAATTGTTGAAGAACCACTTTGAATTCATTCACTTTCCTCTTTCTTCTGTATAGTCCAAACTTTGCAATAATTGAGAATGTCTAAATGGAAAGGTTTATGTCTACCGAATGGATGGACCTTCCAGAAACCCCTAAGAGTCACACTGTACATATAAACCATGATAACTGAGTACAAGTTATGGAACTGAGAAATTGCCTAAGACTTTTTCGTCATATACTAATAAACAGGATATAATTTCAAAACATGCTCTACATCAGTTGTAAATTAAGTACATGAAACTATATCAGTGAAGCTTTAAACATGCAACCTAGGATATTAGTTCTACTTTGAAAATACCTTCACTTAATTCTTGTTTTGTAATTTTAATACTAGAGGAATTTTTGTTTATTTTAAAATCATTCAAGACTAAACGTCGGCTTCAAACATATAAAAGAATCAGTATATATGTATTTCTGCCCATCATCTTGACACCTGAATTTTATGCTAATTCTTGAAATGAATTCGAAGATTTTACCGATCTCAAGCTTTCACATATGATAATAGTAGAAAACTATCCAGGACTTGGTTCACTCTAACCATGTGGATAGTGGGATATGAAGCAACATGTTGGTTTGTTTACTGGAAACCTTCCGATGACACATCTTTGCTTATATCCTCTTCTGAACCAGGTTGAACGTTTGTACATCTGTCAGCTGATCTGCAGTCCCTAACACCAGGTTTTGGCCTTGTTTATCTTTGTTTATGTTGGAGACAGATTGTTAACCCTCTCTCTATCAGTCCGTATGTCCATATCTCATACGTACCTACGTATGCTGCTCGCTCGCTAGCTATCTCGCCACTAACCTGCGCCACCAAGTGCAGACACGGCACAGCTTTATGTGTATTGCCATGCTCAGTCCAGCATTGTACACAAACACATATTGACAAGTATTTTGAATCATTTTTCAAATAATTGCAAAGTTGATTTAGACCAAGATTTTAAGCCATATCTGTATGTTTAGTATGTTAGAAGTATTCCCATGAACTTAATCAAGTAAATTCTACTTCATACATGTGTATGGATCTGTTAAGCTCTAAAGACCTTTGGCAAAGCAACAAAATGGCAAATTGTACATGATTACATGAGGATCTTGTCACTCATTCAGTGTAAATAAATCGTGATTGGTGGGGGATTATACAAATGTAAATTTTCAGCTCTTGTTCAGAAAAATATATTTTGGCTTCTCTCTTCCAATGAAATGGTCACAAATAAAGTTGAAAAACTGATATATTCCCCAAGGCATGCCATGAAATGCAAAAATATTGAATTAAATTGTATTAGCACATATTGGCTTTAACAAACTTATCACTCTTTCAGGCAAAGTTGACTAACAACTGTTACCCTATGTTTTTAGTCTGATAGATATCCCAAACGGTGAAGTTGGAGATAGTGAAG